TATATATATATATATATATATATATAAGAAATACGTCTCGTATCTTATTTAAAATTATCTAAAATTGTACGAGCACACTTTGACAAATATCATTTCAAAGCTCGCGGGACGACGTATAGATTCTTTATCATTTCTATTTCAAAACCAAGGCATTGGGCATTAAGTTAAAAACATCTTTTTTTTTAGAGGGAGGGCTCAATTCCAGAACGCCTGCAAGAAATTGTGGTAACAGGATATTCTCAACAGAATTGCAGCACTTTTTACCCAAACTGTATAACCGACAATCATTTATGCACTCTTCAATCGAGCGGTCAAGGAATGTGTAATGTAAGTATATACACTAAGCGCAGGCCAAAAAGTTAGAAACACTTTTTAAAAATTGACATTTTTGAAATTACTTTTTCAATTCTATTTATAATTATTTATAATAACGTGTTTTTTAACAACAATTCTTCAGATCTCATAATTATTGCATAAAATCAAAAATATAGCTTATTTGCGTTTTTTTATCGAAGTTTCACATAGGTATGTATCGTATAACGCACTAAGAGTTTATCTGCATTTTCATCAGTGTTTCCAAATTTTTGGCCTGCACTGTAATCGTAAAATAAATCGTGTACATGTTTATCCCATATGACAACCTTTATCTCTATAAATTATTTAAAAAAAAGAAATTTATTAAAAAAGAAAGTAATCATTGCTTTATCTACGTTGATATCCGATTGATATATCAGGGAATGGCGAATGAAGTTTCTCTCAGTCATTCAGATAATTTCTCAGAACTAATCATTTCTGATATAGAAAAGCGATTAATTGTTTTACAAAAACAAGTTTTAAAGTTACGTGACAATTATTTATATCACGCGCACTGATAAGAGACTAATATATCAATGAAAAATTCTAGCGATTGTTATATTAAATTGTATTAAATACGTTTTCTCGGCAGGGTGATTCCGGCGGTGCGATCACTTACGAAGGCAAGCTAGTTGGCATCGTGTCCTTTGGTAAGAAGCAATGCGCCAGTGGTTATCCAGATGTGTTCACTAAAGTGGTGAACCACAAGGGATGGATTAATGAATATCTTGTTAATGCAGGCACGAATCAACAATCGAATATCATTTTTGGACTTCTTATGACATACTTATGTATACATTCATTTTTGTAAATGCATACATATATTGTATTACGTTTGCCTGTGATCAATCATCAATTTCAATTATTGATAAATATTACATGAAGATAAAAAAATATTAAAAATATTCTTAAGAAAAAATTGTATTGTGGATTATTGTTACAAATTATAATTTATGACATGAATCTTTTATTTTATGTAATATATGTATATATACACAAAATTATCCAATTATGTTTTGTGAAATTAAACTTTTGATATATTCATGTTAAATTTATTGTACATACAATCTTTCCTAAGATTCTTTAAAAAACATACAAAGAACACTTCCAAAAATTTTGTACAAAGGCAAGTTACAAGATAAATTATTTGGCGACATATAATTTATTTTGTATATATCAAGATAATTGTAATAATGTCGAATAAGACGCAATAAAACTCCCAGCAAATAATAGATGCTTTATTATTTATTAAAGTCAAACTACTCATCATTTGATAAGATCAATTACTCGACTTTGACTCACTCCTTAGAGAAAATTAATTTATTATCTCTACAAATGATTAGGGAAAACAAACAAGCAATAAAAAAAAATATATATATATATTTCTACAAAAATTTATTTTGTATATGTAAAAGAAATTCGAAATTTAAACAAATTAAAAATAATTTACTACTGTAGAAGTAGATCATGAATGTTTCAGATTAATTTAAAACATTCTTAATTTTAATTTTTTTTTTTACATTTTACTACTTTTAAAGCGTTTTCTTTAATTAAATAAAATATATTTCAGTAAAGTTTTTCTATTTGTCACAGTAAAATGTGTCTAATTATTTTATTCCATAAAAGCTTCTCAGAAAAAATTAAAAATTTTTTTAAATTTATTTACTTTTTTATCAAGAATACAAAAAATAATTATATCAAAAAGCACAATTTAATTTTATGAAATAAAGATCGATTCAAATACGAAAAGAAAAAAATTTGCGTTATTAATCTCAATATAGAGTTTCCATATAAAACTATCCAATAAACACTTTTAATTCTTTAACAAATTTAATGTCAAATTTTATTTCAAAAAAATTTGGGATTGTTATTTGTTGTGATTTTTATTAAAATATTAAACTATATATACAATAACCTCATACATACACGCGCACACATACACACAAACAGACACACACATAATTATGAATCCTATCACGATTCTATTATTTTTTCGCAATAAATCTATTTAATACACCATAATCTTTATTCTGCTTCTCAGTCTTTTTCGGTATTGTTTCCTTCTGTTCTTCACGAAGCGCTTCAATCATTTCCTAAATATAACAATTATATTAAACACATTTATATCATTTAATGTTCAATTTATAAGTATAAAAAAACAAATTAGTTTACAATAATGCAAAAACGCTTACCCGACGTTTCACATCTTTTAATATCTTTTTAGTTTTTATTATTTTTGCGGTGCCACCTTTTCCTTTAGCTTTCGTTCGTCGAGGTTCAAAGTTTATTGGTTTCGGTTTAATATACTAAAAAAAATAATGTTGTTAAAAGAAAATATCGAATGTATCAGGTTACAAAATAATATAAATTAAAAACATTTTCGTTTCTTACTTACCAAAAGCTTTTTCTTTGCTTCCACTTTCTCTTTATACGTAGGTACGTCAACTTCGAGTATCTCGGTCGAGTCAAGAGTAATTAATTCAGGCTGTATTTTCTCCAAAAGTGCCTTCACTTCCGTCTCACGTCTCTGACTCTTGGTTTGGAATGGATTAATCTCGTGCGCGTCATAGTTTGCTTCCGCACTTCCTGGCACCAATAGCGACGAGAATTCATTCGCGGTAGAAATTCCCAAGACGTCCTCATACGGACAAAATCTCACGCAGTTCACATTGCGAGCAGTTCTATGTCGTATATATGGCTTGAAATCGCCAGAAGTTTCCCTGATAAAAACATAAATACGAATGACAAAAATTCCTCAATAAAACAAAGTGCAACATTTATTTTAACAGCAAATTACCTGTAAACTTCAACTACATTGCCCATTCCGAGTGCGAGCAAACCGCGCTGACTGTAAGACATACGATGAGCGGGCGAGCGAAGGTGCAGGTGGCTCACGGGCCCTGTTAATTGCCTAATATCCCATATCTTCACGGATTTATCGATAGAACTGGTTGCCATGTAAGTCCCGCACGGATGAACAGCGCACGTCATAATTGACTGATGATGGCAGAGCATTTTCGCCAATGGTTTATGAGAGTTCGGGGACCACATAGATACTACTCCTTTCGAGTTGCCCACACATAGCACTGCGTTACTCGGATTTTGCGTCATCACCTGCAGTAAATTAATGTCGATAAGCAATGGGATACAACATAAAACGAAATAAATAAAAAGTAAACGTAATCTTTTTATAAAACTCACAGATATTCTGCCCAAGTTGGAATTGTAACGAGCGATCAGCTTGCCGATAGATACATCCAGCCAAGCCATGTGACCGTCCTTCGAGCCACTGGCAAGCAAAAAATGGTACGGCAAGAATTCCAATCTCGTCACGCCGTTCATTCTCTTCAGGCAATGTAACTCTATTCCCTGATTGTCGTACACGTAAACCCAATCCTTCTGCGCTACCGCAAACATAGTCTCCAGATGCAGCCAAGTAACATCGTGCACAGACTCCATCACGTTTATCTCACAGGCCAGCTTCTTCGTCACCCAATCGAAAGCTGCCACGTGACCTTGTTTCCCGCCCAAGAGCAAGTGCCTGCCATTTCTGGTGTATCTGAAGCAGTACGGGCCAAACTGCAAATCCAGTTTGAAGCGTTTGGCTGCGCTCGTTATGTCCACGTTCTCTGCGATCTGCTTCTGCCGATACTCGGTAGTGACTTCACCAGATTCCGCTTCCAAGTAGCCGTGCTCCTCCGTCAGTAGTAGTTCCGTCCGTGCGGAAGCTTCTATCTGTTCCTCTATGGCTTGCTCTTTCTGCCTTAGTTTCTTTCTCACTACTTTGTTTTTTATTGCATTCGTCTTTCGTCCCGTCTCAAGTCCGGGACCTTTAGAGTATCTTGCTAATGTTTCTTTTTTAATTGGTATTTTTTGATACTTTTTATCGGCTAGAAATAACATAAACATATAAATCTGTATAATTAAGATTAGAATGTATAATTAAAACAATAATTCAAAAATAACATCATCAATGACATAAACCATTGAAACAATAATTTACTTGGATTTTGCATCATCAATCCTACAATAAATTAATGACCGTCAACAAGCAATGAGATACAACATACAATCAAAAGTAAATGTAATATTTTATATGAGTGTGGCGATCGTGCCGCGAGGAGTTGCGTGGCAGCTTTCTGTGCCAAGGATCCACGTTCAAATCCAGCCAGAATAATATAATTCAATAATCGATTTGAAGCGATCGTCACCTCTTGGAAAGAATATCTCTACCAAAAAGAAAACCTCTTCTAATAGGCTGTTCGGAATCGACGTTAAAACAAAAAGTATCATGAAAAGGTACCATTGATAATAAATATCTCTGGAAAGGTAATTGATAACCTTTCCAAAATATCTCTTATCTGAATTGTGCATTTCCTGATACTTTTTATCGGCTGACATAAACATAATTCTATATAATTAAGACTACAATTAATTCAAAAATAGCAATAACACATCACTAAGTAATTTATGTTTATTTTAATATTTTGTAATATATCCAACACAATTTAAATTATATTTTCTAGACTTGAAAGTCATTTAAAGCACAAATATTTATCAATAATAAGTTGAAATTTCTCTTTCTAGTATGAAATATGCAAATGGCTCTTTATAAATTTATAACATTTACGTTTTCTTGTATGAATGTATTATACACGTGTGTATACAGGTAACCTAACCTCATTTCTAACCTCAAAAAATCGAATAATAAAGGATGATTTCAGTGCTCATACCTGGTCGCTTCATTGTGATTTTTATCGTAACCACGCACTAACTTCTACAACGACTTTATTAACAATACACGTTACGAATGTTACGATACCGAAGAAAGTGGAGATTGTGGAGGTGGAGAGTGAAGAGAAAAGCCTAAGAACAATATGGAATAGTGGAATGGTTATGTCCACCAGCGCCTCTATGTACGTATATACGAAATACTATTAAAAACCGACAATATCTTATGGGAATTAGCGTGGCTGTAAAAATGTTAAAATTTAAGTAATTAGCGAATAATATACATAATATTAATTGTAATATTATTTGTTAACCATTTATTTAATATAACGTATAATTCGTATATTCATATACGAATTCTATATGTAAACAATAAACACTGACGAGATAATATTAAAGACCGACACCTTCACGAGAGTTTAAAGGTCCATCTACAATGAGAGTAGTAAATCGTAAACCTATTAAGAAGTTGAAAGAACTTGAACAATCAGAGTCGAATATGAGAAAAATAATCGACTGTGATTGGTCAATTTCTTACGACCTACTACTCTCATTGTAGATTGATCTTAAGAGTATCTCGTCGCTATAATGAATAGTATTAATATTTAAATCTCGCGCGACATTTGTGGGCAGAATTTGATTGGCTGCTCCATGTTCAAAACGCCATTATGCGCAATGATTCACCTTGTTGGGCTCGCTCGCTCGCTCGCACACATTCATTCGTCGTAGGTCGATCGGTGATTGGGGAGCATGCGCCGATGCACACTCCCGTTCAGCTATTCCGGTTCCCTCTTCGCGCGCGCGCGGGGGTGATTGTCATTCATGTGATTAGTCGGAGAGCGTTCGCGACACCGCGGCGGAGTCGATCGCGCGTTTTCCCCCCCGAGTTTCCGCGTACACGGTGTCCGCGTATATGTAGGCGTAATACCACGTCGGAAGGCTAAGCCGCCGAGCGCTTAAGCGGCCCCGTGAAGTCACGCGCGCACCTGCCCCTTGGCTACGCTCTACGCGTGCCTACCTCCGCTCCGTTCCGCTTCGGATTGATCGATCGCGGAGGAGAGGTGAAGTTCGCCGCGCGCGAAGGGGACCCCCATTTGGCGCTTTTTCCACGGACGCGCCGCGATGTCAGCCGTCTCGTCTCGCTCCTGATAACACCACCATCACGGACCCGGCCGTCTTCGCGATGGGATCTCCGCCGTTCTAACCGAGCGGTAGGTAGTCGGACGAGTTTTTTTGACGGTATATAAATACGAGTGAAAGGAAAGAAGTGAGAGAGAGAGAGAGAGAGAGAGAGAAAAATGTGAGTTGAGCGCGCGCGGTGTGTTGTCCGCGGAACCGCGTGACAATCGATCGCGGTGAACGGGTGAATCGCCCGCTGGCATCGGGTTGACCGAGATCCGCGCGCGATCGCGTTTCCTGCACGGCGGCAGGCGGAGGGAACGAAGGGACGGGACGACGCGAGCGAGGAAGGAAAAGAGACGAAGCTGCGTCCGCTGTTAAGACGTAACGCCGGAGCTGCTCCTTCCCGTGGCGGACATGTCGACGTAACATGGCGTCACGGTTGTCTTTTTCGACCGGAGATAAATGCACTCCTTCCTCCTGATCCGCAAACGGCGGCGGATTCACGACGCCTCTCCAGCCCAGCCGCCGACGTCGGCCCCGTCCGGAATTTCACGTGATCGTCGGCGCGGCGTCGTCCGTGACGTGTAATCCGCTTAACGCGGATGTCCACGCGCGCGCGTCCATCAATCCCCCAGTCTGATATTTTTCAATAAGGTTTAATATATTTCTTACGTACCGCGAGTCGAGATAGGAGGAGAGTGGCTACGTTGCGTTCCCTGTTATTGCGGTTCTCGCGAAAGTTCGTCTTTTTCAACCGCGCGGATAACGCGGCGAGTGGATAATCTTGATCCCGTGACAGACGGGGGCGTTTGACTTATCTGCAGGTTAATCAGATGTGATAATTGATGTGGCTCGTTAAATTTCGAAATTGGTGATCCATTAACGCGTCTCATTTATTTTACGGATTTTATCCCCTCGAATGTCTTTAATCGCGAACGTGAAACAAAGTAAACAAATTAATTTGCCTAATGGAAGCCTTAATTCTGTCGCGTTGTTGTTACAAGAAATTGCAGTTCTAACGAGATTGTAGCTTTGAGAGATCACAGTTTTACGAAATTGCAATTGTGAGAAATAGCTTTATGCGATAATTTATGTGTTTGGTACTACTTGCCCTATATTTTGTCTGTTCCAGATGGCTGTCTTCTAATATCTATTGTATAGTAGGTAGTAGTACTCAGAGAGTGACGCGACTCGTCGGCATCCTAACATTAATGAATAGAAGATTTCGCATAAAGGCCACGTCTACGTTCTCACGTCCAACTGCGAATTAGCGGGTGGAGAGATGGCAGATGAGTGCAGCGAGGTCAAGTCGGCAGGACCGTCCTCGCCAAGGAGTCCGCAGGGCAGCAACAACGGCGGGAAGCCCAGTAGCCCGCACTCGCCTAGGCAACCAAGACGCGTGAAGCTAACTCAGCAACAATTGGACAGCTTGACTAAGGACGAGCTAGCGGCCAAATGGCATGAACAGGACTTGTATGTGGAGTGTCTAGAAGCCCAGTCGGCAGCTCAGGAAGGTACTGAGATCACACGAGTGAGACCACCTCACTCACCACATATCTTAAGCGAATTAACGAATGCCAGGACACAACGGTATTTTGTAAGAGACAAGACTCTCGTAGAGACGCTAAGGGTAGGGTTCATTAGATCAGTGTTTAGGATACTGTCATTAAGTTGTCTATTAGGCTTAAGATAACGAGAGAGAGCTTTAATCAATAAGTAACTTCAAGTATAAACGATAGGAAACGATTTTTATTATCGCTCTATGAAGGAGCTCAGTACATATGTGCGATCAGATTATTTCAATGTATCTGCACAAAAGTACTAGAGAGATTAAATTAATATTGGAGAATTGAGATAATGTTGCGCTTCATATATATGATTATATTAATATATTTCCAAAACTACATTTTTTTGTGATGTGTAAAGTGCGGGTAATTAAAGATTCATATATGTAAGGCGATAACTCTCAAGGTATTTGTGTGCGCACGGGTGAAGTGACAGCCGCATACATACGTAAACAAAAAGGGATACGTTTCCAAATTTTCTTGTGAGCAATTACATTCAATCAGCCATAAAAAGCATGATTAGCGAGTAAAAGTGAAAATGGCTGATGTATATAACAAAAAAAAAAGTGCTTGTGTGTCTCAAGAAGCGTCTGAATGAGGTTTCTCTGCGAGAGAAAAAAGAAAACCGTGTCTGCCATCGATGTTGTGGGTAGGCACAGCCTTCCTTTGCTCAAAATGCTCATTTCATAAGTGCCCTGTGCAAGTGTATCGCGTATATTCTCCGCAGTGTAATAATTTATGCTGCCGAAATGCGGGAGAGTGTGTGTGTCGTGCGTGTATAATTTCGAAATACCGAGTTCCTAGTTAACGAGGATGAGACGAAAAGCGGCGTTTATATGATGGCGCTCTGAATTTAAGCGGCTCGGAGGAATAGTAAGAGTGGATCCGTGTCACGCCCTTTGGTCTACAAAATACTGCACCTGGGGTGCGTGAAATTTATATTCTCGGTGAAGTACGCAACACCACCACCATTCGTCGTTACCAATTGGAACATGACTCGATCCCGTCATCTGTCTCTCCTTTCCCCCCCCTCCCGAATTTATGTATCCTTACATCTTTATTATCTTGTCCTTGAAACTTTTTTTTCCAATTAGAGATAATGTAATCTTTAATCAATTGTATTCCTAGACCAATTATCCTACATGTTCTTACTATGAATGCAACATTGTGTGCATGCATTTATACCTGCACCATAATGTCCTGGTATCAGATACAAATTTCAAAAGTACATACCTGTGGGTTAAGCCCGGCCAGCGTCTCGTAACAACATCTGTGCCTGCAACAAGTACACGCTTGATTCTTGCGGAAGAAAAGTAACGTCCACTCTTGGTCTCGGTGGAAGTACAGAGAGTCACACAAATGGCACGTCGCAACGACTCCAAAAATCAAAGTATGCGCCAATTAACAATGTCAGTTGTCAGGCAGTCATAGTCACGTACTTAAAAGTATATATAAAAATATGTTGTTTATGCGCACTTAGGTAAAAATCATAAATAGTAATTTTTTACCAGTATACTTGGTTCCATCAAAATCTCTATTTACATATTATACGTAAAAACTATGCAAAATATTCTACATAATTATGCTTAGTTTGAGGAGTTTCAAATATTCTATATAATTCATACATTTTTATTTTTAATTAATAAATGTCTCGGAAGAAAAATTTACAGTTACAGAAAGAAAATTTTGACATTGCGTATGAATATATCATTATAAAAATTTTACAATAGAATAAAGTATATTTTCTTATATTTTTTTCTAAAATAATATAATATTTCTTTATTAATATCTTTAAAAAAAATTGTTATTAAATGTCACAGAACAAATTTTTATATTTTCGTTGAAACATCTGAAGAAAAAAATATGACAATTCACAAAAATTACAGAATTCTTTTCTAATTAATTTATTTGCTTCGTAGAAATAATTTTAAATCCTTACATATAAATGTTATATAAATCGGAATATATTGGACATATGTCTGTATTATTTTAATTTGACTATTAAATGTTGCATTTTTACATAAAGTAACTTCAAAAAACGCTTTGAAAAAATTAGGATACAATACAATTGCTGGCTAGATATTGCAAAGACAAAACTAATTTGCAGGCTTAAAATAATTCAAGAACTATATGCGCGGGTGTGTGTGTGTATGTATTACGCGTCTCCTATATGAAATATACGTATTCCATTATTTCGCTGTAATTGTTTTAATATGTGGCGAATAATTTTGTTATTTTACAAGAAATATTTTTCTTGTAAAATATAAATATATATACATACATCACAAATTATATATATAACTATTGCAATTTTAAGAAACGCATAGATGCCATTGAATGTTTGAGTTCTAGAAGTAGAAAAATTTATAGACTATTCCTTTATAGGTGAACTAGCTTCATTGAGAGAATCCGAAAACAAATACAAGCAACAATATATAGAGGCATCTCACAGGGAGAAGATCCTAGTAAGGAGGCTTGCCTCTAAAGAGCAGGAATTGCAAGAGTATATTGTATGTAACCATTTCTCAGATACATCGAAATTCTAATGCAAGTTGTCTTGCAAAATTTATTTCTGTATGGCCTTATAAAAAAAATTTATTTTTCTTCATTATTAGAATCAAATAACTGAAATGAAAGCCACCCAAGCTCCGTCCGCAGCTGCGTTAAGGTCCGCTCTATTAGATCCGGCTGTTAATATACTGATACAGAAATTAAGGCAAGAGTTAATAACGACCAAGGGTAAATTGGAGGATACGCAGAATGAGCTAAGCGCTTGGAAGTTCACCCCGGACAGGTCAGGAAAACTCTATACGTTAAATTTTTTTTTATTCAAAAGACGTCACGCGGCACAAAGGTTTTCATTAATTAAATATATTCTATTTACAGCAATACGGGGAAGAGATTAATGGCAAAATGTAGATTGCTATATCAAGAAAACGAGGAACTTGGTCGTATGATCGCCAGTGGACGTATTGCTAAATTGGAAGGCGAACTCGCTCTGCAAAAGAGTTTCAGTGAAGAAGTGAAAAAGTCACAATCAGGTATCATGTTATATATATATTTACTGATTTACAATTGTCATTTTTATAAAATTATTATTTCATAAAATTGTTATTTCAGTTAAAATCGAATTTCTATGATCGAAATATTTCAAATGTAACTGATGCATTTTCCTTTGATTTGTCTTTTACAGAACTAGACGAGTTTCTGCAGGATTTAGATGAAGATGTAGAGGGCATGCAGAGCACCATTTACTTCTTGCAGCAAGAACTGCGCAAGGCTCGAGAATCTGTGACGCTGCTGCAGCAGGAGAATGCAGCATTGAAGGCGAATACAAACGAGAATAATTTGTCGAACGGTCTGTCACCCCACACGCCACCGATTAAGAAAGAGGAGCCGGAGGACACTGCAGTACCGGACACGAAACTTCCGAAACCGATGGAGGACAGTGATGTGTGCAAAGGTGTAAGGACTCCACCGTTAACGTCGCCCCAGAGTGAGCTTACCAGTGTCGAAAGAACAGACCGTGTGGAGAGAAAGCTTAATCAGGCCGATCACAATGACGAGAGTTCAAGCGACTCCGCGGCGTTAATTATTAAGGTCGAAAACGAGGAACTCAGTGATAGGGAGGAGGAGCAGGAGGAGAATCGGAACAAACGAATATTGAGGAATAAAAATCACAGTAGAAATAGTGGTAAATCGAACGGGGAGGAGGTGTTAACACGAACAACGCGGGGTAGGGACAGGATAAAGAGGGAGAAAAGTGCAGCCAGTAGTGATGACGAAAGGACGCACAAGAAGAAACGGAGGGAGAGCATTCTTTCTCTCGATTATAACGAGGCCGATGACGACGCGCTAGTTTTAACTAACGGCGAGACTCTGCAGAGTGATCCGGAATGAGCGTTGAGTTTTAGGGTTTGGTTTTGGACTCACACACGATGGTTGAAGTTCGCGATACATATGATTTGACATCCACCTATGTACAAAATTTTTGCAAAATCTAAAGCCGGCTATTTACAAGACATTGTTCGAATAAATGAATAATTAGCCATAAAGGAACGTAATTTCAGTACCTGTATTCGTGATAAAACTGCAAAGGATAAATATTCACATTGGTCTCTAAAATGACGAGCCTGTAAATACTCTTATACCATTAGATCGATATGAACGTTCACGTTTACGTCAAGTTACTTGCAAACGACCAAGTTGCGTATTACAAAGATATATCAGACGAGAAATCTGAATAGGTTAATATAATTTATTACAGCCCGAATACAGCTGTAAAGAGAAAAATCAGAACAATCGAATTTCGTTTGTATTTTGTAAATTTTATTGTATTAAAACTATGTAAAAATCAGCAAGAGCTTTGGTTCAATCAGTAAAAGAAAGATTATTCGAAAGATGTATTGTCAAGAATTAATCAAAAACGCCTGACCATAATTACGTAAATCAAGTTCCAACTGCTTTCAGGCACAGAAGGCGCACTGTAAGATTTTCACATGATTATGTACGTAACGTTGTACATATGTATTTCTGTGCAATTTGAGATATGTATCGATCGCGCGTTTTCATTTTGCTTTTATCGAACGATTGAAAAGCATTAAAAAAAAGCAAATGACATTAAAATAAAATATACAACTATTAGTCTTAGCGACGCATACGGATTGATCTCACAGACTGATACATTAATCTCACATTTTTAATTTTCCTAAACTGTGAAATTTGTATAGTGTTTGATATATTTTATATTATCTATATACATTCAAATTTGCTTTATATCGTCTCTCCGTCAAAAATTTGCGCTTTCAGTTTCGTTTGCAGTCCGTGCTGTAAAGAAAGAAATGTTGAATATCAAGAGTACAAGTTTGCATTACAAAAAAACAGAAATATTACACGACAAAACGCATATTTCATCCAAAAAATTTTCTGTATATAGTGCCATTATTTTATTCTTGTCTAGATATTAATAATTTCTAAAATACGAGAGAGAGCGACGAAAAAATAAAGTGCTTTTTCTTACGCACATTTTTCAACTAAGCATGGTGTCTTCTTTTCTTCAAATAATAATTAAGAACGACTAGAGACAGCTTTATATTTCGATAAGTATCCAATCGAGTTTTTACACATCCGCCTTTTTGCTTACGCGATGTAGAACGTCCGCGCGCGTGTTAGTTTACACTTAAACTTACCACTAAAAGTATGCTAACAAATTGTGAATCTTCAACTGCAAAACATGATGATTAAAGAATTCCTTATTCAGACTGAAGATATGTTAATTTCTTTCCATTCCATATGTGACATTTAATTATTATGATTGTGTAGTGAATACATTGAAAAAAAAAATGGGAAAAAAAATTCAATATAAAGTTCCCTGTACGAAATAATTGAAAAGTAAAAATATACGTGCATTGAAGAAATATAAGAAAAATGAATAACTTTGAAAAACAAATAAAACAGATAAATTCTAATGTCAAAAATGTATATAATATTTATAATTATATTTAGAAATACAAATATAATTTGTTGCACTTAGAAATTCAATTGTAAATAGGGAATATTTTTTGCCGGCTAAATTCTCCGTCCGGGAACGAGCCTTATCATAAAACTCATCGATAATGTAATCCTACGCGAATTTCCATGTTTCCATTCTCGGCGTCGGTATCGCAGCACTCGGCGAATAGTTTGAGCAAGTTCGCGTGTGTAACGCGCTGGCGTTACCCGGTTGGTGGTGATAGTGGTGGTAGAATCGGACCGCTGTGCAGAACCACAGGCAACCACAAGTAGAATCCTTGCGAATCCTTGGAAAAGGTCGACTCGAATTTTTCCGAAGGACAGTTCACGTGTACAGTTCACTCCTCGCCCCAATTATGTTCGCGGCAAAGCGTGCTCTGGCCACCAACACGATGTAAGCGTGACGAAAACAAAGAAATCCGCCGCTGTTTTTCGCATTATGTAATTTCTAACCTGGCACGCGACCTCACGACATATCTTTGTAGCAATATTTCGTGTGTTTCGTTATATATATATATTCGTTATATATATATATATATATATATATAACGAATAACTGCGTTATCGAACTCTTGCTCGACTCGTCAAGAGTCGATGAACTGTGTTAATAATTTACGTAAAACCATTCGTATTAAGTAGTACACCTTCTGTTCTTTTCGTATCAACGCAGGGATTGGCGCAATGTGTTTACAGCTGATCGGCGAATTGTCAAAAGAAATAAATTATTCCTATTTTAAATTCTAGACTTCTTAATTTATTTAAAAAAATTTTTTTAATAGAATTTAAAATAGATATAGTTTATTTTGTAATAAATTGTTTTATTTCTAACAATAAGAAACAAAATCTTCAATTTCTGAGTCATTATCCATTTGTTAAAGTGACTTTTTTTATATCTATTTTCTATTTTAACTTTGCATTGTATGTGATGAGAGTTTAAAAATAGGTAACATTATCGTTGAATATTTCAGTTAAGTTTATGTGATAAGAGTAAAAATAAGTAACATTATCGTTGAACATTTTAGTTAAATTTTAATGTAATTCCAATCTTTAGTGTTCAATTTTACGCAAGCTTGAACGAGATCTCTATAAAGATAAAAAATCTATAAGAATTATCTTCTAACAACTTTTTATAAATTGACTTGAACATTATTCAAATATTTTATTTAATAATGCAAATGGATAATTTTACTAGAATGTTATCCAAAAATTATTTCATAAGATTACATATTCACTGATTTTTCTTTTACAAAAGAAATACTCCTATTATCTCGCTCATTTTTAAATGTAAACTTTTTTCCTATCTTTATGTTATGTTATTAATTGTTTTCTGTAAAATTATAGCGGTAATATCCGCTTTGATTAAAATTATGGTTTTTTCTAATATATATAAATAGAAATATAGATGAAAAAATCACGAAAAACAGTATATACAAATATTTTAAACAGAAAACAGATTTCCAAATTAGAAGAACGGCGAACGTTTATTTTGCTTACTATATTTGTCATTTTATAATATTTTATAAAACTTATGTATAATAAGTATAATCTTATATTATGTGACTGATGCAGCAAGAATGTATACACATCCTTGAGATCGAAGCATTCACTTCCGGAACTACCATACGATTACAAGGCTCTGGAACCTATCATATCCGCTGAGATCATGGAACTCCATCATTCCAAGCATCACGCGACTTACGTTAACAATCTGAACGTCGCCGAGGAAAAAATGCGGGAGGCGGTCGCGAAAGGCGATGTAAACACACAAATCGCCCTGGGTCCAGCTATCAAGTTCAACGGCGGTGGTCATCTCAATCATTCAATCTTCTGGTGCAATCTCTCGCCCAACAGTTGCAAACCGGATGGTAATATCAAGAAACTAATATATTAAATCGATTGGACTCTCCAATTCATGTAAAAAAAAATATTTGAATAATGTTCAAGTCAATTTATAAAAAATTGTTAGAAGATAATTCTTGTAGATTTTTTTATCTTTATAGAGATCTCGTTCAAGTTTGCGTAAAATTGAACACTAAAGATTGGAATTACATTAAAATTTAACTAAAATGTTCAACGATAATGTTACTTATTTTTAAACTCTCATTACATAAACTTAACTGAAATATTCAACGATAATGTTACTTATTTTTAAACTCTCATCACACGCAATGCAAAGTTAAAATAGAAAATAGATATAAAAAAGTCACTTTAACAAATGGATAATGACTTAGAAATTGAAGACTTTGTTTCTTAGAAATAAAAAAAAAGAGAAAAAAGACATAGCTTATCAATAGATGTGAACAATTTTTAATAATTGCATATTTTTGTTCTCATTTTTTAGGTGCTCTTGCAAATCAAATCACCAAAGACTTTGGCAGTATGGAGGTAATGAAGAAGCGCTTGTCCGAAACAACCGTGGCGATTCAGGGTTCCGGTTGGGGTTGGCTCGGATACGATCAGAAGGCCAAGTCGCTGAGGATAGTGACCTGTGCGAATCAAGATCCGCTGCAAGCCACGACCGGTCTCATTCCTCTCTTCGGCATCGACGTGTGGGAACACGCCTATTACTTGCAATACAAAAACGTACGACCTTCTTACGTGCAAGCGATCTTCGATATTGTTAACTGGCAGGACGTAAACGCACGCTTCAAACTCGCCGCGAGTTGCTAAGAGTTGACAAAGTCGTTTAGGATTAAGTATGTTTTTAAGACATGTTGAGATGTCGCTTAGAGTGACGCTTCTAGGATCAAAAGATATCATCAGCAACTTGTCACACACTGTAATTCGCCTGTGATTTCATATGTGCTTTTCTTTTCTACACTGTATCCAAAGTGATCATGATCGAGTGAGTAAAACAAAAGTGGAAAGTATTAAGAATATAGTACATTTACTCAAGAACCTTATACTTAATATAGAATAAAACTGTTTTGTATCTTGGAAGTGATAAATGGAAGATACGCATAGCTCCATATGAGAACAGTCAAATTGTAGGTGGTAGATTCAGGCCCACATATTTCTTACTAAAGAAGCCAATGAGATACCACTCTGGCTATATTGTCGCTTTTCACTGTAGAAAGAAATTTAAAACGAAAAGATCTCTAGTTTCAAGCAGTCTTTCGATGAAAGTTGTAGAATAGATCTCCCCAGAATAATCGTCAATATCAAGGGCATTTGATATAACACTGGAGAAAAAGTGATAAATGCCTAATCGTTTCTTTTTACGTGCAGATTATTCTCTTCAAAATATGCACTTTTAAACTGAAACTATTAACTGTATGCTTCTTTTATATGATAAAATCTTTATTCGGAATTTGTGAATATTACTGATAAGAAAATTTAACATATTCAAGAGCGAGATATTTACCTTACTTTTACTTAAAGAGAACTGGTCAAAAAGTATACATATACATTGAAATAGTATTTAATATTTTCTCTCCAAATACCTCTTGATAAGAATAAGATCAATTTTTCATCAGTTTATACAAGATCAGTTATTCTTTCATCAATTCAAACTGATGAAAGAATATTATATATATGTTATATATGTTGATAATAATTTATCGTACATATACAGATTAGTTGTTAATGAGATAGATATAATAAGACATAGAGAGATCAACAAGATCGTTGCTACAAAATTAATTCATGCCTACCTGGAATTAAAAAAATGTATTTATTCAAATAGTCAGAGTAAGAGCAAAACACACAAACAGATATTATATGTTATTAAAGTAAATTCTTTTGTATTCAGTTATAAAAAAAAATATTTTGTTTACAAAAATCAACAGAAAGTAAAAACAAATCCAGATTCCCTTTAATTCCAGATTTCCGGATGTAAGTACAGTAACCAATTCGTACAAAAGACAGCACATATGAGACATGTATCTCAAAGACGGAACGAACGATGGAGTGAGAAGGGGGGGGGAGGAAACAGATCGTCCAGGACCTCTAGGAAAGACCCTTCCGATGAAAATACCTCACTGCAGGAAAAACAAGGTTATGTTCGGGAATCGCCAGCTATGATTCATCCAACTTTCCTGGAAGCGAAACGGAGCGCGGGACGGCTGGTCGTGTGCGCGGACGCGAGATCATGATCTTTATCCTCGCTCGTCGTCACAAAGAAAGAGCGTGCACGGACTTGGGACGCTAGAACGCGCAGGTCCGCTCCGCGCCACAGTCCTCTGTGAATTGAAGGTAGGCACACGAGCGGGCGCGCGAGCTGGACATCAGCGCGTCGTCGTGACAGGTCCGTTCACTCGCGGTAACGTTCGTCGCGAGGAGCGCGAAGCGAAGAACAGAGCGACCGACGGAGCCGTGCCGAGCTGAGCCGCCTGAGGCGAGAGGGCAGAGGCTCTAGCTAGGCTAGGTCGCGCGCGCGAGAGAGACTCCCCGATAATCGATCGCGGGCGTCGGACCGCCGCCGCGCCGGGGAAGTCGGGCAACCGAGTGGCGTCGCGACGCACGGCGTGCTGCACGCTCGTCCGCTTCCGCGAGAACGTGTCGTCGTCGTCGTCGTCGTCGGTGGCCGGAGCAGCAGCAGCAGGCCGGAGCCAGTATGGCCGTAGGACCTCAGCTGTTTTCACGTCACTGCCTACGTATCTGGTGAGTCGCCTCGACACGGGGCCTCGATCTTCCTTTTCTTTTCTTCTTTCCTCGTGTTCGCGTTTCCACTCGCGCTAACGCTTTTCGTCTCTCTCCTCTCTCTCTCTCCTACACACACACATTCATACACACATACTCTCTCTGTCTCTCTCTTGTGACCCGCGACTTCTGTCGCGCGCGAAGACGTGCGTGTATGTTTGCTTCGCGATCGCGCGCGTCTTTTTACGAGCATCGTGCGAACGGCCTCGTAAGCGCAACATCGCGTCGCGTCGCCGCGACGGACGATCATTTATTCAAACGACCGACTCCGTCAGACCCCCGTCATCGTTTATACCGAGCACGGCATCCCGAGCGTTTTTCGACGCGCCGCCGAACGAGTCGCCGTTGTTTGTCACTCCAGGAGCGAACGTCGCCGAGAATGAATTCGAGAGTGAATCTCGAGGGAGCGATAATACGAGAGCGCGGATCGTTCCGTGCTCTTAATTTCAAAACGAAACGTGTCGCGCAGCTTGTCCCACTCGATCGATCTCCTCGATCGTGAATTCGCGCGAATTAGAAATTCTCGATAGTCGGAGGCATGTGAAACATGGGAGAATTTTCGCGAAGCGTCCAAAAAACCGAAACTGCCGCAATCGAAAAGTATGTACGGGGCAAAGTTTAGTCGCGGTATTCCGTACCGATAATTTCTCTTATTACCTGGCGAAAGCAGATTTCCGCTTGTCAGTACACAGAAAGAACGGAGTTTGCTGAAAGGTCTAAAAATACTGCTGAATAGAGATCTGAAAATAATTTTGTTGGATTATAAAAATAATTTTATTGAAAATTCAAACTGATTGCTAGACTGTCAAAACGTTGTACAGAAATGCTCGTCATTTTGGAGTTTCCAACAAAAAATTATTTTCAGATCTAATATATCCAGCAAAATCGTTCTTTCCGTGTAGCCTTTCGCTCGCAATTTCGCGACCAGAGGAGCAAGAGAGTGGTCGATCACAGCCCGAAGTTCTCGTGCATTTTCTCCGTATTCCGAGCCACTCGCGTTGCGTCAGGGGTTGAAATATAAAAGTTGAGATTTTACGAGAAATGTTTAAATATACGACTCGACGACAAGTCTACGTATTAACGCAGATATATGCTCGGAAGGGATATTTATGTTTACACTTCTTACATTACGCTTTATTTTTTACTTTTGAAAGGTCGCGAGACCGAAATCAGTGTCATATTTTTTGCATCCGATTATATATTAACCCTATAAATCGTACTATAATC